GAATACAGGCTAGCAACGCTAGAATAAAAAACACACACTACTAAACTAACCAACAACACAGAACACTAAACCAACTACAAGACCCCAACAGGGTAATACCCGAGTGTCGAACCCCAACAGGGTAATAAGGTGACACTCGAACGCACAAAGTGACACTCAGGCCCACAGAGACCAAACGGCCCAAACCAAAAACACAAAACAGCAAAACAAAACGAAACTACAGCACAAAACAGACACACCCTAAACAAAACAAAACTAGACAAAACAAAGCAACAATGAAGCCCTTCCCACAGCAGAAAGCCACACCGAGCACAACAATGGCAGGGTCGCAACCCAAAATCCTGACCCTGAAAGTGCAGGAGACCGCCTAACTGAATCGAAGACCCACGGGTTGGCCCGATCCTCGTCCAGACGAACAACTCCACTGCAACCCGGAGAAAAACCCCCACCCACTCAGACAACCAAGGCCCCAAGATTGCCGACAAATCCAAACCAAAAAGCATAGCAGATCAGCTCGACAACTCACCGACAACCTCGACTTACCAACCAGCCCCGACCCAACAATCGCCGACAAGCAATGCAATTGCCGACTACCTTGATCAGATAACGACGACCCATCACTGTAATTGTCAGCCACATCACTATCCCATTCGACGCTCTGTTCGTCATATCCAAATCAAAGCATCAGCACAGCAATCGTCGGCGACCACTCCTCCAGCACGCAGCACCAGCCTTTCAAAGCTGATAACCGCCACTCCAATCCGCTGACCTAAGCTGAGAAACCCCAATTGACCGGAAGCCTTTCTCCACCCCAAACCCTAAATCGAATATTGGGGTCGCAACCCCATCCAAGAGATCGCCAGAGAGCTGCCGAAATGGAGATACCGGAGGAGAACCATCCACCCGCCACTCACTCCCAGCACCGGAGACGGAAGCCGGAAAGCAGGCAGACAGTCTCCCCGGCGAAAAAGATCCTCCTCCCCCGCGCGGCTCTACTCTCGGAAAAGGGCTGCGAGGCTCAGGAGAGCACCGCCGTGCACTCGCCGCGCCCTATAGGGGAAGGCGGCAGATTTTCGAGGAAAACTTCAAGGGGAGATGGAGGGAGACGGAGCTTAGGGGAGATGGAATCTCCAAATTCATATAGGTGGAATATATGTATACAACAATTGATACTGAAAAATTAGTATGACAATTTTCATACATGTCACGGACAATCATAGAGATAAAAAAAAATACAATCATTTGCTCTTTGTTTTGTCCTAAAC